AGATTTCCATTCTTCATAAAATTAGTAATTTAACAAGAGGAAACTAAATATTGAATGAAATTTTAGAAGGGAGACCCAACAAATATGTAAAGAATTCTAATAAGAGTGATATTTTCTGCAAATAACTTCTGAGGAATTGGATTATTCAAATTGCTTGTATTTTGGTAAAATCAGGGCTGATAAAACTCCCATAAAACCATCTGGTTCAGTTCTCACTGTTTCAGAACTAGAGAGCGGTGTGTGTGTGTGTGTGTGTGTGTGTGTGTGTGTGTGTGTGTGTGTGTAAAGAGACTATTTTCATGCATCATTTGAAGGTGAAACTTTTGCTTACAAAAATTAATTTCTTACCTTTTTCATAATCATCAAGGCAAGGGATAATGATTTCTGCAATGTGATCATTGTGGAGAGGAGAGAAGAGAAAGGAAGAGGTAGAAATTGGCTGGAAGTTGGGTTTTAAATCTAACTGAGGCTTTAGAGGTAGTCATGTGGAAAATACCAGGATGTATTTCTAAGAGAAGTCATTCTGCTGTTCATTATCATTTGTATGGGAGTAAGCTCTTTCCATTGGCTACATAGACAGAATAAGTTGCATCTTTAAAATTATGGAACTGAACAATCATGCTCTTCTTTCTTTTGATGCTGAGAAAGATGGAGGTCCAAGGTCATCCACAGCCAGGGCATCATGAACTGTAGTGGTGGGATGGGAAAGGCTAACTTCCCTTTCCTTTTTCTCATAACTCCAAAAAACAGGCTTGGGGTTTTGCTTTGTTTTGTTCCATTTGTCCTTTTCATTTCTAGGAGCAGGTGATGGGATCCCCAAGAGACCCAGATTTGAGCCATGACAGCTTTAGAGCCAGGATACCAAGCTAGATGTGCAGCTAGCCACCCCAGCAGGGAAGCCCTGAGAAGACAGGGTGCTCTGGGACTGGAACCTAAGGTGGCCTTTGGACTTGAAATTTGATGAGACTGTGCTAAACTGTGAACCGAATCCTCTTCCCTTCTCCAGGGTATAAGGTGGAACAGGAGGGAATTATGCCTCTAGGTACTGGGGATAGGAATGTTATATGTTTTCTCTTGTTATACATTTGAAGTAAATATTCCTATGTAAAAGTAAATCTGACTATTAAGTGGTAAAATGGAATTGGAGTGCTTAGATAACTACAGTTGGGGAAACACCATCAGCAGGGGTTAGTGCCATTGGCAGGGAGTATGGACATCCTCCAATCACCTTAAAGGTAGAGTAGAACCCTGGGGGAGGAATGAAATGTAACATACCTGGTTTTTTAGGCGGTGGGGGTGGGAGGGGGGAGGACAGGGGAGTTATTGTTAAACTACTGAACACCTGTTTTCTGTGATTGATTATAAGAAAAAATAAAATATGCTTAGGTTTTCTTTGTATTGTTGTTCACCACAAAAATATGACAAGCATTCCATTCATTCTGGAAGTGGGTAGGCTGAAAAGCATCCTTCAAAGGGAATAATTTCTGAAAGGTATTTGCAAGAAATGTCTTCATGGGATTCTGGAAATAATGGCTGTTACAAGAAAGATTTCTTAGGCAGATCAATGATGCTTGCCAATACAGAGGAAAATAAGAAAGCTGAAGTGAAGTACAACTAGTAGTCAGAGGCCTATTAGTAGTAAACAAAAATTGCTTTTTTATCCTCTTGTTGGAGGGCTCAGTACATTATGCTTAATACTCAGTGGTTTTTCTGCAGAGCATTTTACTAATGTTGTATTTTTCTTTAGCTTTTGAGTTTTCATTAAATCCCATTTGGTCTATTTTGGAGTGTTAAGACCTTGCCTTGAGATTATGTAAAGCAAAGGAAGCACAGATGCATTTTAAAGTCCTCCACCTTTAAATACAAAAATCAAAGAAAATTCTCAATTTTTTTCCTCCTATGAGATATCTTGACAATTAATCTCTCAATGCTTTCAGAACTGCACCACCTTCAACATGGATTTCTTTTGAGCTTGGTCTATCTCCTCTTTCCAACTTCATTTTCTTAAGAGCCATTTAAACAACTTCATGCAGCACATTGAGTACTGAGGCCTGAGAGGCCAAATGTGACAGTTCCTCTGCCATTGATAATGAGAAAAAATGGTTATAGTTCCATTTTGCTTCTATTTGTCACCCTCTTGCTTTAATCTTTAAGTACTCTTAATAAAATTTGGCCTAATGGAGTCATATATGAAGTTTTGTGAAGACTCCTTTTCCCTTCTGCTGCTCTCCACTCTTTTGTGAAGGAAACACTGCTTTCCATTCCCAATATTTCATCTCCCTTCTCTGTAATGCTTTGTCAATAAGGTTGTACTCTAAAACAGTGTTGTCTTTGGTTTCTATGACTAGCTCCTTGTCAGGTATATCAAATGTCTGTGGGTCAAGAACTGTTGTGGGTTCTTTTGGTTTCCTTGTTGTAATGACTCCTTTATATCATTTAAACTTTTACAAGAAATGGAGATAATCAGTGTCATTGTCTTTAGCTCTATCCATTTCCTGATATCTGTATCTGACATCTTGATATCAATTAAAAAAAAAATAAGGCAGTTTGGAGCTGCTATAATTATAAAAGTATCTTATCTTTATCCTTTCCTTTAATTTGATAAAATATCTATCTGTATATCAACATAGTAATACCTTTAGCAAGTGTGTACATATATGTGTATGTGCCTGTGTTTGTGTGTGTACACACATGTGCCAAAGGTGTTTGCTACCATTGTGAGAGATGTCTACACAAAGTACAAGTGGAATAAGAATTCTCTGCATATGTTTAGGCACATGAGATGCTCCTGCCAACAGATATTATATTGCTTGCATAAAGTCTATGAGTACTACAGGGCTTCCTCAGTGAAATTAATTGTGTCCAACTCTTCATGACCCCATTTGGGGTTTTCTTAGCAAAGATACTGGAGTAGTTTGCCATTTCCTCCTCCAGCTCAATTTACAGATGAGGAAACTGAGGCAAACCAGCTTAAGTGACTTGCCCAGAGTCATACAGCTAGGAAGTGTCTGAGGCCAGATTTGAATGAGATTATAGTCACTCAGAAATGATAGCCCTGACAGTCTATACAGGAAGAGCAAAATGGATGAAAAATCTCATTGCTTAAACTGATACATAAATGATGGGCAGTCCAGCGAGCTGGTTTATCAGAATCCTCTGTTGGCACTGCATGGGATCATATAACGAGAACGAGGGATAACAGATGAATACTCTGAGTGTGGCATGTGTATGGAATACTAGAAGATTCAGATAAAGCTCACAGCATGTCAGCTAGCTCTTTTCTGGAGGATTCATTGAGAAGACATGTCCTAGAATGGCATGGGATGATAAGGTGTGGATAGGTTGTAGCTTGTTTGATCAGAGGAATCACCTACATTGATGGGATCCCAGAGCCAAACAAAGAAGGAACTAAATTGTATAGAACAGGCAATCAGACAGTAAGGCCTTAATTGTGCAATAGAAGGATAAATGCTAAAGACATCAGAGAAGGTTTGGCTTTCTTTGGGAAGACTTCATGGAGGAGAATAATGGATTTAGAGATAAAAAGACTTTAGAGGTTACCATGCTCTTTAATGAGGGTTAAAGTATAATCTAGATGTAAAACATTTCATAAAATGGTTACTTATTAAAATAAAACAAATAATAATAAAACAAATATATAAATGTATTATAAATATATAAATATAAAATAAATAAAAATAAATATTAATAAATAAAATAAATTTATATATAAACATATAAATATAAATATAAAATAAAATTAAAATAAAATAAAAACTGAACAGGAGGAAAAGTTCAGAATAAGAGATGTCTCATAACCTAAATGACTAAAACAATTCCATTTTCAGAATGGGAATATATTTGAAGGGTTAGTGCTCTCTCTCTATCTCACAATATCTTGCAAGGTCTCAGTAACAAGCAGGAATAGGGCATGAAGAGGACTGAATATTAGTCTGGATTTTGTGTCATCAGCTGTGACCTTGGTTGAGTTAGTTTTCCTTTCTGGGTCTTAGTTTCCTCATCTGTTGAATGAGGATGTTGGATTAGATGACCTCTAAGTTCCCTTCCTTCTGTAACATTCTGTGTTGTTCTAGGTATGGCTTTTCTCCTCTTTTATTTAAAGTCAAGAACTGATTTGTGTCTGGGTCATCTTTGGACATCCCATAGGCATCTCCTTATAAGTCTACCAGCTCTAATCCTTCACAGTCTGCCTCCAGCCTTTTCTTAGAAGCTGTGAGCAAATCTGAGTTAAAAAAAGTCTTTTCTTTGTTAATAGTCAAGTGCTACATAAACTAGAGTTATTAATATAATTATCATCACTCACAAATTTCCCTGTGATATTGAGCAGCAGAGTGGCCTCCTTCCATTTAGAACAGACACAAGTAACATAACTCATAACAGAGTATTCCAGAACATGTTTTTTTCACAAAATTAACTGTACTTAATTCTATACCATGGGTTCTTAACCTGGGTCCACAAAAGGCTCCATGGATAGATTTTTGGGTATCTATGAATGTAGATGGGAAAAATTACACCTTTATTTTTATTGCCCTCTAACTCAGGGGTTCATGACTTATTTTAGTGTCATGGACCCCTTGGCCATCTGGTGAAACCTATAGGACTCTTTTCAGAATAATGTTTTTAAAAAGCATAAAATAAATTATATAGGATTACAAAGGAAACCAATTACGCTGAAATACAGTTATCAAAATATTTATTAAAAAAAAACCCTAGTCACAGACCCCGGGTTTAAAACTTCTGCTCTAGAAGAAATTTGAAATTTCATTGTATTATAAACATGGACAATAAACTTTATTTCCATTAAATGGAAAGTTCAACAGCCTAGGCCAGAGATGGGGGACCTGGGGCCTTGAGGCCACAGGCAAATATAAGGAAGAATATGTAACTTGTGCCATCCCACATCCATGAGAACAACCTCAGCAGTCTAGACCCAGAAGCAGGAAATGGAGAAAGTGGCAGGTAATCAAAGGTGATCTTACCTGATGTGCCCACCAGACCATCAAGTAAGAGAAAATGGCTATCCAGGTGATGGCTCCAAAGAATGTAATGGGAAAAAACTTCCTTGAGGACTGAAAGAGAAAAAAAGATGAAAGAGAGGAACAGTAAGCAATCTGAAAATCTGAGATTGAGGCATAGCCTGAAGGAATAAGTATGCCAAGAGTCCTAAGGGAATGATTGAAGGGAAAAAAAAAGAGTAGGAAAAGTCACATCCTTAAAATTTCTTTTCAATGAACAAAAGTCTACTTTCTCTCCTTTCCACTCATCCCCCCCCTCAACTGGGGGGAAAATAAAAACAAAATCCTTTTAAAAATATGCATAGTCAAACAAAACCAGTTCTGGAATTGTCCAGAAGATATGTCTGAATCTGCACTCGAAGTCCATGAACTCTTGTCAGGAGAAGGGTAGCATGTTTCGTCATGGTACGTCTGGAATTGTGGTTGGTCATTGGGAAAGGTCACTTTTAAAAAAGATTGGTACACATATGAAAGTTCTATGAAATGGCAAGAAAAACTATGGCAGGGGAACCGGCTTATTTTCAGTGGTTGCTACTTTGTGTGAATACACATGGCTTTATCTAGGCTTAGCTATATTATAAAAAATTATGCAGATTATTATTTATTATAATAATGTCATATTTATGTTGTGTTTTACAGCTTATGAAGTACTTTCCCTTTTATTTATTTATTTTTTTTAGGCAATTGGGGTTAAGTGACTTGCTCAGCTAGTAAGTGTCAAGTGTTTGGTCTGAGGTCACATTTGAACTCAGGTCCTCCTGACTTCAGGGCTGCGCCACCTAGCTGCCCCTCAAGGTACTTTTCTTAAATCAGTCCTGTGGAGTAGGCAGTGCAGGTATTATCATCCCCATTTTGTAGATGAGGAAATAGAAGTACAGAGAAATTAAATGATTTGTCCAGAGTCACACAGTTAGGACATGCTAAAAGTTTGGAACTGGTCTTCTGATTCCAATTACCCTGCTCTTTCTACCCTACTCTATTAGGCCATGTTGCTTATCAAAACATTTGTTTTCATTGTGACATTAGAGTTTATATGTCCAATAGAAAATGGACTGACCCTGGAAAGAAAAGATCCTACGAGTCATCATATCTATTTCCGTGATTTCCATAGCCCATCATAGGGTTACAAGTATGTATCCTTTAAGCAAAGGCATGTCTTTTTTTTTAAATGTAAATAGTATTTTATTTTTTCAATTACATGCAAATATAGTTCTCAACATTCATTTTCTGTAAGATTTTTGAGTTTGAAATTTGTCTCCCTCCCGCATTCCTCCTTCCCAAGATGGCAAGCAATCTGATATGGGTTATACATATGCAATCAAAGGCACGTCTTTTCTAATTAAAAGTTGATTAACGTGTATCAGACACAAATAGAACATTTCCCATTCATTTATACTAACAAGGTTAATGGTCTTTAACTTGAAAGGTGCACAATCTAGAGATACAAAAAAATGATCCCTGGTGGCGTATGAAGAAAATGTTAGAAATGAGAGAAGAACTGTTCGTTGAGCTTGGAGTTGCTTCCTTCCCCTGCCTGAGCCCAGTGCAGGCTGTGGTAGATGGTTAAGTACATTTGAGGTTCCCTGACAAGCAGGCAGTGAACAGGTGGTCATTCTCTGCCCACCTCACATGCTCCTGTCCTGTCTCTCCATTCCCCATGACCAAAGTGCGCACCTTATACATCGCTTGGCCCATTCTGCCCACTATCACTATCTAAACCCCTAGAGTACTCAGACTACAACAGGGACAGGCAAACCCTGCTCTCTCAAGGCGGGATGGATGTGATGGGGAGCTCTTGCTCACCTCCTCCCAACCCTGGGAAATCAAGGCGGTATAATGCTTGGACCTCTGGTTACATGTTACAGGCAGGATAATTTCCCTCTGGGAAGGCAAGGAAGGTGTTTTTTGGATTTTGTCCATCTGCGGGAACAGTGATATAAAACTTCCGGTCTGTGGGGAATTGATATTCCTGAAGTTTGGAGGCATTCCCACTGCCTTACAGGCTGTCTTTCTGACCCATGATTGCTGCCCTGGAAAATGTGGAAGTATAAGGGGAGCAGTGCCTAATTCTAATAACAATGTCCTTTTTAGGGGCAGCTAGGCGGTGCAGTGGATACAGCACCGGCCCTGGAGTCAGAGGGACCTGAGTTCAAATCTGACCTCAGACATATAACACTTCCTAGCTGTGTGACCCTGGACAAGTCACTTGACCACACTGCCTAGCCAAAAAAAAAACCAACCCAAAAAACAATGTTCTTTTAAATTCTTTATTAGGTTGTTCAGTTGTTTCAGTTGTGTCTTACTTTTCATGACCCCATTTGGGGTTTTCTTGGCAAAGACACTGGAGTGATTTGCCATTTCCTTCTCCAGCTCATTTTACAGATGAGGAAACTGAGGCAAACAAGGTTATGTGACTTGCCCAGGGTCATCCAGCTAGTAAGTGTCTGAGGTCAGATTTGAACTCAGAAAGATGAGTCTTCCTGACTCCAGGCCCAGCACTCTATCTATCCATTGTACCTCCTAGCTGCCCAATCCTCCGTTATAAATAAGGTTATTGTTTTTGTATTTGATGGTCCATGAATTTTTCACCGTATCCTGAGCCTGAATCATTGGACTGATCTAGAACAGGCATGCAGGACGCAGCAGAGAGGCAGGTCTTGCTTCCTTTGCAGCAGAGACCAGACCCTTCCAGTAGCCTTGCACTCAAAGAGGACCGATGAGATGCTTGGTATAATAACCAATGACTGATCAAAGACGTGCTTCATGGGATCCTGATGTGAAAGGGCTCTTCGTCGTCCCAGGTGGCCAGACTGTCCCATGAAGGGAGATCTGCTTCCTGAGAATGTGGACTTCTTGATTTCCACCCGGGCTTTCATCTCCCCTTCCCACCCACCTCCACAGAGGAGACCAGGGGAGGTTTGAGCAGGTTCTGGAGAAGCTGCAGCAAACAGTGTCTGAGAGGAGCAGGCACAACAGAGCCCATGGGGGATCTAGGACCAAGCAGCTGCAGCAGCAGCTATCAAGAGGGTTGTGGTAGTGGCAGCTGCTGCTGTGGGTGGCCTTAGAGACTTCTCTCTGATCTGCAGTCCTGCTCCCAAGAGTCTTCCTACCCACCAACCCACTGGACACCCTCCTACCACCAGGAAACTAGGGCTTCCCCCTGCATCTGACCAGCTGCCTTTCCATTTTACTCCTTTTGCTCACCTGGAGCAGCTACTCTTAAGACCTGGGATCTGACTTCCAGAGACAAATCCCCCTCCTCGCTAACAATAATAAGTAATAACAATATCTAATATTTGTATAGTACTTACTATATGCTAGGCACTGTGTTAAGCACGTTACAATTACTATTTGATCTTCAAAACAGTTCTGGGAGGTAGGTGTTACTATTATCATCCCTTTTTGCAGATGAGGAAACTGAGGCAAAAAGGAGTTAAGTGACTTGCCCAGGGTCACATAGCTAGTAAATGTTGGTCTTCCTGACTCTGGGCCTGGCATTCTATCCACTTCACCACTTAGCTGCACCTCCCCTTCAATCAGGGAAGATGGAAATTTTTTGGCTGAATTTCAACAAAAACTTGTACATGATTGGTGGATGGGACTGAAAAATAAGTTTCATGATTTGGTAAGTGTAGCCAACATTTTCCATTTGGATTTATATATGTCTGTGAGTTAGGCAGTTAGGTGGGCACAGTGAATAGAGCTCTGGGCCCAGAGTCAGGAAGACCTGAATTCAAATCTGGCCTCAGACACTTCCGAGTTATGTGACCCTGGGCAAATTACTTAACCTTGTTTGCCTCAGTTTCCTCATCTGTAAAATGAGCTGAAGAAGGAAATGACAAACTACTCCAGTATCTCTGCCAAGAAAATCTCAAAAAAAGGGTCATGAAAAGTCAGACGTGACTAAAAATGACTAAACAATAACAACAATATTTGTGAGGTATTTTTTTTATCTATGATAACTGTTAAAACCAAATATCAAAATAAACTGAATTTAGAACTAGGCCTTTGAAATCCTGTATCACAATGTACTCAACCAAGATTTTCAAATTAATGAAACATGTTCAATCCCATTTCTTTTTAAGTGAGAATAAAAAAGTTTTGGGTATTATTAAATAACATAGATCTATTTATATAATTGCAAAATCAACGAATATAGCTTACCTATATTGGGAGGACATGCTTAAACATTTTTTATTGATGGGGTACATGATCAAAAAAGTGAAAGTTCTACATCACAGTGGCATTTTATTGGTGCCTTTTGTTGGAAAGAAATTGAGGTCAATTTCTGAGGCTTCTAAGGGTATGAAATTCTGACAGAGCAGTCCTCACAAATTATCACTAAGTGGAGAGTAAAGTAATATACTTTGAGGAAGAATTGTGGTTTTTGATTTTTTTTGCCCAGAGAAGTAAACCTTTGGATGAAAGTCCTCTCTACAGCTGGAAGAGTTGACCTTGGGTAGTTACATAGAAAATTTATGATTTTTTTAAAGACAGATATTAAAAAGACAAGGAGCTGAAATGTACTTCTCTACGATTTTGAGCCTTCAATAGATCCTTAGCATCAACTACAGGGGTATATTAAGTTTTATAACAATCCTTTCTTTGTGGTTGCTTTTCTCATCATTTGTTGGCAAAACAGACCGAGAGGTAAATTGATTTGCCCAAATTCAAGTAGTTGAGTTTACTGACTTTCTGCTAACCCAGGCTGCCTTGTACTTTAAGACATTGATCCATATGGAATTTACTGTCGTAGATCATAGGAGTCAGTGATGCAAGTCTCCTCCTTTCCTCAAGGAAATTTCCTTTGCTTTTCTTGTCCCTTTGTTTTTCCACATAAATTTGGATATCACTTTATCTAATTTTATGAAGTGGTTCTTGTTATTTTAATTGATCTTTAAGCTTAGACTACAAAACTGTCTCATAAAGTCACAGATTTAGAGCTAGGAGGAACTTTGTTGTTGTTGTTGAGTTGTATCCAATTGTTTGTGACCCCATGGACCATAGCACACCAACACTGTCTACCAGGTTTCCTTGGTAAAGATACTGGAACG